AACAACAACAACAACAATCTTTACAGAAGCGGACTGCCACGTCTTTCTCCTGTGGAGAGATCATTAGGTTCGAACCTCTGACTTTTGGGTTAGCAGCCGAGTGCTAAACCACTATGCCACCAGGGCTCTGTAATTAGCCATTAACCCACTGCCACTGGGTCAATTCTGACTTATAGCGACCCTCATATAGTTCCCAAAGCTGCAAATCTTTACAGAAGTAGATTGCCTCATCTTCCTTCCACAGAGCAGCTAGTGGGTTTGAACCACCAACCTTCTTAGTCATTGTTGTTGTTGTTACGTGCCCTCGAGTCAGACCCGACTCATAGCCACCCCTCCTTGGGTTCCTGAGGTGGTTATCACTATGGAAGTAGATTGCCCAACCTTCCTTCCGAGGAGTGGCTGCTGGGTTTGAACCGCCAGCCTTCTGGTTAGCAGTCAAGTGCCTTAGGCACTACACTACCAGAGCGCCTATAATTTAGTTCAGGCAGTTTGGGCAGGACTCAACAGCTTATCTATGCTCCATGCAGCATCTGCCGTCGAGTTGGATCTGACTCAGCAACCCCTCCTTGGGTTTCCAAGGCAGTATCATTAGGGAAGTAGATTGACCAACCTTCCTTCTGAGGTTAAGGAAATAGAAATGAAAAACAAAATGAGATACCACTTCACCCTCATGAAGATTTAAAAGAAAAAAAAAAAAAGAAGAAGAAGAAGAAGAAGATCTACAGCCTTGGAAACCTGTGGGGCAGCTCTACTCTGTCCTCTAGGGTTGCTATGAGTCGGAATCGATTCGACGGCAATGGGTGCTACTTTGAAAAAGGTGATACTATTATTCCTGTTTTGTACATTGAAAAACAAACACAAGGAAACATAAGTACTCATTTAAGGCTGTGCTGCACCAACTGCAGAAAAAGGACTTACACCAGGACTACCAGACTCCTAGCCTGTGTACTAACTTTAAGACAGAGTTCCCATCCTCCTTGTCGCATGCACTGTCTGGGTCATCTTGGGGTGGCATGTTCTTCTCTGAAGCTATCTCCTCATGAACATACAGAAGTGACTAGATTAGAAGAGTGCTTTTCAAACTGTGAGTTTCAGTCCATGAGTGGGTCTCTAGTCAATTAATTGTGGCAGAAAGGCCTGGAGACCTGCTTCTGTGAAAACCCTATGGGGCAGTTCTACTCTGTAACAAATGGGTTTGCCACCTGTTGAAATCTACTCAATGATAACGGGTATAATTTCTCGTTATTTTTTTAGCCACTTGCTTACCACAGGTTATGGTTTCTAAGAAGTTTGCAAAACACGAGATTAGTTTTAAGAACATGCCTAGCTAGCTCTGAAGTGGTCAGATGGGGAAAATGAACTTTACAGGCAGTTTTTAAAAAGAGATTTTCATTTATATCACATTTAGGGGAGATGAGTATTTTTTAAAGGTATAAGAAAAGATCTAAACATTTCTTACAAATGGAATCTTCTATATTTCCTTTCTGGTCATGAGTTTTAGGCATCTTTGTAGAGATAAGAAAACGGAGTGAAACTCTTCAGGACAAATGATCCTTCAATAATTAAATTACAGCCTGGGGGCTCAGCACCATATTTTCTGGGGACATCAAGGTCAATTGGTACAAGAAAACATTCTACATCCTATTTTGGTGAGTAGTTACTGTGGTCTTAAAAGCTTGTGAGTGGCCATCTAGGGTACACTATCGATCTCTCTGTGTCTGGCGCAAAGAAAAGTGAAGAAAATCAGACACACGGAAACAAGTAGACCAAAGGCCTAATGGGCCACACGAATCTCAGCACCCATGACCCTGAGATCAGAACCACCAGACA